ACATTGTATGTGGCAGATGTCAATTTCCCTTATTATGTTACCATTCATTCCAATTATTAAGAAAGTTCTTGATAGTTATAAGATAGGGATTTCCTTCTCAGTTAAAAGTGCTGTTTTACAATATATATTGAAGGTTGTGGTATACATTTATGCAGTTCACTAATTCACCCCTGAAATTTCATAATGAACTATTCCAACCTTCGAATTGGGGGAGTTCAAATGTGTCTTCAGGGGTAATTAGTTAATACAAAATAACTTCCTCCTGTGTTTCAGCCCCCCCCCCAAAGTACTGCTGGCACTTTCCAATTAAGAAAATCTGGATAGTCTGAGAATAGGGATTTCCTCCATCAGGTCAAACTATTTTCACACTGTATTTCATGCTTATGCCTTTAACTCATTCACCCCTAATATTTCATAATGAACTTTTCTAACCTTTGAATTAGAGGAGTTCAAATGAGTCTTCAGTGGTGAATAATTTTAATACAAAATAACTTAGTGTGTTTGACCCCACCTCAAGTACCACTGTCTAATAAAGACAAAGGCTGAAGAGAGCGGTTCTGTTAGTTGTTTCTAACCCCAAGGGGCGGGGGTTGTTAGGGGCAGGGGGGCAACAATCCTTATATTATCTGAACTGGGTTCTTATATTGATTTTAGTTTTTTCGGCATTTTTCATTTTCCCCTCAAATGTTGGCACTGTTTAGTATTCTTTAATTTTTAGTTTTGAACAGCCCATCTACACAGAAGAGGTCTTCCAAGGCCGATCAAAGGTAGATAAAACACAATCCTCATAGCGGTGTAATTTAGAGCAATCTCCAAGTCAATTCTACACAACCATTGACACAATGACACTAACCTGTTGTGTCCATTATTTGTTCATTAACCCAGTTATATAATTACTAAATGCACAGTAATTCTTATCAAGTTAATATCATAAATATAGAATATTGCACATACACAACCACAAAGTCAACTTAAAAAAATATTTTAGCAACTTTAAACAACACCACATGTAGTAGAAACTGTAACCATAGTAATTTTAGTTGAATATTTATTTTAGGTGAATATCTTAAGTGAAGTATTATTTAAGCTATGCACAAATCTAACTTCATCACTATTTTAGAAACAATATTATCTTAACTCAAATATTATTTTAGCATTATTTAACAAAATGTTTTCTTTAGCATTAATCTTATTGAGCATACCTTTAGATAACATATTGTTTTAGCTCAAATAATATCTGTTGCCAGTACAACCAAATGTTTTATTTTGTTTAGAGATTAATTGCTAATTATACTTGGTTTAGAGATTACTTGCTGATTATACTTAGTTTAGACATTTTTTGCTGTGACACTTGTCTAGTGGGCAGTTTATTTGTGACTGATATAGTTTTTTTTACATTCAACATTACTTTAATTAAAATAATTTTAATATTCGTTTGTTTAAAATATAGCGCACTTGCCTTTCACCAAGCCGACCAGAGTTTGATTCCACGATCACAGACATGAAAAGGCTTTTCTCCCAGCACTCCAGTTTCCTCCCACATATAGACCCTCCCACACTTACATCTGAGCCAACAAGTGTATATTATAAGTTGAAATAACTTGTTTCATAATTGTTGTAAAATCAATAAAGTTCACATTTTTTTCCCATCAGATCCGACACAAAGTTTACAAGTATAGTAATGAGACCATGACAGTTCAAGCATCTATTAGGCCCAGTCACAGGATAATAATTTCATTAATAATTTATAATGCTGTGTGGTTCATCCACCATCAATTTCAAAATCAGATGTTTAGCAACACCATAAACAATAACACAAAATTCAATGAAAAATGAATAAATTAAAGTTTGTTCAAAAGAGGTTTCTTCACTAACACAAAAATAGGTATAAGAAAACTAATACATTGTAAGTCAAATTATTTTTGATTATAAATCTGATTTTTTTGTCAATTTCAAAAAGAAAATATATACTACAAACATTTTTGTGGAGATAATTTACCAGAATGGATTTAAAATCACTGAAGGGCAAAAGTTTGACAGTGAAAATGCCCTGCTATACAGTAACGTCAACATTTCTCAATCAGAAATTCACAAGTTTGGCATTTATCGCAAAAATAAAATAGAAAAAATATCGGCAACGTCTGAATGTGATCTACAAACAATCAACTACATGAATGAGAAAGAAGACAGCGAAAACAACAAACTCATACAAACAAAAGCATTCCATCCGATATCATTGCAAAAGATCATTCACAACAAATGAAAATGGTGACTGGTCCCTATACATGTTAGGCATAGGGATATATCAGGTATAAATTCGGTAAAAACATCTGCAATCTTCATACCTGTATGCGGAATTTGTACCGATCAGGTATGAGTTTGATCAGGTATGAATTCGGTAAAAACATCTGCAATCTTCGTACCTGTATGCGGAATTTGTACCGATCAGGTATGAATTCGGTAAGGAACATCTGCACACTCATACACTGATTTTTTTTTACAAAGACTTATAAAAACTGCAATAGGAAAATATGGCCCAGAAATGAACACTTAATCAAAATAAATTTGAGGAAAATTTGTTCACATGCATCACAAAGATACACCACTACCTAGTTTCTCTTCATAAACAAGTCAATCTAAATTTTTATTAATTTCTGTAAAGAAAAGTGAGTGAAAAATTCAATGTGTTCATTGTTATGTTTCATGCAGCAATGTGATAAGTTTTTTTTTGACAAGACGGGAACCATCATAATCAGCAAACTCGAAATTCCAGGGATTACTCGCTCTTATGACAAACTGAAAGCCGCACAGCTCGCAATGGTATTGGTTTCAGGCAAAAAAGAATGACCAACTGCTTGCTTGATACCTGTTCTTGTGAAAATTGCAGCAGAGCGACACCCGACTTCAAAGCCGATTAAGTTTACTGTTACCCTAGCGACCGCACAATTCTTTTGATGTCCATCAAATGATCAACCTAGTCTTCTTGTATAATCCAGAAAGTGGTACATACAGAGTGTTCAGGATATAATCAATGCCTGCAGAAACTTAACCTTTTCATCCCTATATAACTTTAGTAGAGTTATACCATGCATTAATCTGGATGAGTCCATTATGGTCTACAGTGGTTAGAGGAGTAACCCCTAGAATTTTGAAGATGCTTTGAACAACCTCAATTTATATTATTTTTAAAAATGAAAATATACCAAAAATATTGAAGAAAATATATACATGTACAATGTGTAAAATTCTACAATCTATACAAAAAATATGATGAATAATGTTGAATCCAGTTATATGATCCTGGGTGGAATACAGACATTGTCTAAAATGTGTAAACCACATTCAGAGATGACAAATACATTTTGTGTACGATACCATGTAAAAGCATATATTGAATGTTATTTTGTCAAAACCAGTGATATATGAAATAATTAGTAAATCGCATAAATAAATCTTTTCAGATGAACTTGTATAGTCACAAAAGTTGGAGATTTTGATAATAATTTTATAATACTTTTTTCGTCTAAAAAAAAGTATTTCCATTTTGATAAGAAAGTGTTTGTTCTGGAAACCAAAACTTTAGTTATGAAAAAAATAAATAAATAAAAAGTCCTTGATTAGGTGACACAAATTCCTGAAGTTAATTAGTGAATTGTACATAAATTATACATTTGTGCATGCTTACAGCTGAACATTTCATCCAATAGTTATCTGCCCTTCAATCAAAAACATTATATCACATCAGAGAAATTGATTTCTTGAAAACAAAATACACACTCAATGGAAAACAAGCTAAGAAGAGCTTTTATAACTTCTTTCCTCAATTTCTTCATTTTTTCCTGGAAATGTTTTCACCTAGTTTTCCCTTTTATTGTTCCGACAAAACTTCACTATTCCATAACATGAATTAAATGTTTTCAAAAAAAATAAAAAAATAAATAAATGAACATTCTGTAATCTTTGTGCTGGGTCCATCTCCCTGTGTGTACTAATAGCAGGTAAGGACATTTAGGAACTTCCAGAATTTTCAAGTTCATTTTGAAAGGGGAAGATAACTCTTTATGAAATGAACCTTTATGACTAGAAATGAGTGAAAAAGATGAAATGAGACGAATGTATTTTGTATCTGGCTCCAAATACTTGACACTTACTCGACCCATATATATTCACCACTGCCTACGACAATATTTAACTCATTCACCCCTGAAATTTCATCATGATCAATTCCAACCTTTGAATTAGAGGAGTTCAAATGTGTGTTCAGGGGTGAATGAGTCAAGAATCTAGCATATAATACTGCAATCTGATGGGATGTTAAAAACGTATCAAAACCACTTACCCTGGGCAAGTAGAGTTTTAAAACTGAAATTCAAATATGCATTGCTTTTAATAAATTTACAATGGACATAACTCACTTCATATATTTTTTTATTACAAAAATCTCATAAACCATAGCAATTCCTTACTTACTGTGGTTACTTAATAATCTACTTCCTCAAATTCTGTGTTTTTGTTTATTGGGGGGGGGGGGGCAACAGAAATTAAAGATTCTATTATAGAATATGGCAACGTCCTTTTTTTTTTTTTTTCCTGTGTCTGGTCTAGCGTTACTTCTGGACTAGGTGTTGTCACGGCAATGGTGTATATATATGTGGTCAGGCTTCAGCCAGTATGGCAGCACAGTACCACAGCAAGTTAGGCCTTAATACCTCCGCAAGTAAAATCACATGGGGAATGAGTGACTAGATTATCATACATATATGTTATAGCTATACACACAAGTCCCACAAACCAACCAATCCAACAACTCCTGGGCAAAATATCAATGTTAATTTATCAGAGAATATATGTCCATATGGCTGGGTCGATTTCCATTGTTCTAGCTACCTATATATTGTTAATATGCAAATATATACTTTCACTAGGCCTATTAACCCTTTCATCACTGTAGACCATAATGGACTCATCCAGGCCAAAGCATGGTAGAGTCTACTGAAGTTACATAGGGGTGAAAGGGTTAAGTATTCATTGATATTTTTATAAATATATACAAAATATGTACAATGTATATAAAACGTTTCAGAAATATCAAACAACCTCCCTTTATGAAAACTGTTTCATTTTTCCTAATGAAAGGGAAACAACTCTGTTGCTGCCATGCCATTAACAAGGAAGACACCTATTTTTGTATTTTAGCTGTCAGAATCAGAATGAGATTATCACACATCCTTTCTAAATCACAAACTAGGATTAATTAGAAAGGTTTCTATCAAAAAGAGGTATTCGTTACATTCTACTATCAAAATAGAAAGAATTAACTCATTCACCCCTGAAGACACATTTGAACTCTTCCAACTCAAAGGTGGGAATAGTTCATTATGCAGTTTCAGGGGTGAATGAGTTAAGAGGTAAGAAAAGAATCACATTTGTATGGAAGGATACAGATGTATAAAAATCATGTTTCAAACCAGTGTTTGATGTACGTATACAAAGCATAGGTAATATTTACACAAGAGCTACCAGCAGCATACAAAATAAGACACAGCCAATGATGATTGGCAAGGAAAGTCAAATCACTTTCTCTGCTAAAATAAATTTCCACACGATCATTTTATTCTCTTTGATTACTAATAAGAAAAATTCTGATATATTAAAAATTCTCAGAAAAAGGTTTTGTTCAACAAAATCAGAACAATATGATATAACAAGAAATTTAAGTAGTAACCAGTCAAAATACAGCAATCATTAAATTTATCTCTTAACTCATTCAACCCTATATATTTAAACTGGACTGGCCCAGTCTTTGATTTGTTAAGGTTCAAATGTGACTTTAGGGGTGAATGAATAATCAATAATTATGAAAATCAATTTGTTGTCATCTTAGCTGGGCAATGCTTACTACAACTGTGCATTTTGCTTCATTTGATGTGAATTTTGAATTTCTATATTACATTTTTAATGCTACACCGCAACTCAGGGTTACATTATCTTACTTTTTCCTGCCTTCAACTTTATTTACCCTGTGATTATAAATCCTCATAACATAATTCTTCTGAAGTGAGATTTTTGACAACGTTTACTTACAGTCAAACCTGTATTATGAGACCACCTGTTAAGACACAACCTGTGATAAGAAACCACTTTTTGAATTTCCTGAGTGTGGTAATTTATACAGGTTTCTCTGTATATCTCTAAATGAAAATATCAGGGAAACATTCTTTTGCAAACAGATTTGCCATTAATTCCAAAACTGGTCCAAAGAGACAAACAAAATTCTTTTGTTAAAACTGAAAAATTCTTTTGGCAATGTCCAGGAAATTAACCCTCCCTTTCACCCCTATGTAACTTAAGTAGACTTTACCATACATTCATCTGGATGAGTCCATTATGGTCTACAGTTGTGAAAGGATTAAGTAATGATGAAGAGGACAAATGTATGGCCATAGTTAGCGTAATTAATTAGATATGTCAATATGTGTCGTCGCTTCGTCCGACACAGAAGTACAGTATGCTGGATATTAGCGCCATTCCAGTCGCTCCAACAGCGACCCAAAAACTCCAGCCGAACAGTAGCATTTCATTACTGGTCGTCTGGGACGGCATCACGATGGCTTGTTTTTCTAGATAGGCCTTGGTTCCGAACACGCAAACAGCTACGGCCAGCAACAGGACTGTAGGTAAAACATGAAGGTAAAACATACAGGTAAAACATAAAGGTAAAACATAGGTATTGTATAGGGACAACTCACAAGTTTATATATGATCTTAAAAGGCCTAGCATGTTGCTACCTTAGACTATGTAGCTATCTCCTTGAGTATCGTAAAAGTTGTCTCCCTTAAGTCTTCATTCTGAATTATAGTACACTATGCCATCCCAACATGGGTTAGGGTTAGGGTTAGGGTTGTCTCCCTTAAGCCTTCACTCTGAATTATAGTACACTATGCCATCCCAACATGGGTTAGGGTTAGGGTTAGGGTTGTCTCCCTTAAGCCTTCACTCTGAATTACAGTACACTATGCCGTCCCAACATGGGTTAGGGTTAGGGTTAGGGTTGTCTCCCTTAAGCCTTCACTCTGAATTACAGTACACTATGCCGTCCCAACATGGGTTAGGGTTAGGGTTAGGGTTGTCTCCCTTAAGCCTTCACTCTGAATTACAGTACACTATGCCGTCCCAACATGGGTTAGGGTTAGGGTTAGGGTTGTCTCCCTTAAGCCTTCACTCTGAATTACAGTACACTATGCCGTCCCAACATGGGTTAGGGTTAGGGTTAGGGTTGTCTCCCTTAAGCCTTCACTCTGAATTACAGTACACTATGCCGTCCCAACATGGGTTAGGGTTAGGGTTAGGGTTGTCTCCCTTAAGTCTTCACTCTGAATTACAGTACACTATGCCGTCCCAACATGGGTTAGGGTTAGGGTTAGGGTTGTCTCCCTTAAGTCTTCACTCTGAATTACAGTACACTATGCCGTCCCAACATGCAAAACATAGTATACTATGTGTTATGTAAATGATTTATTGAAGCTAATTTCATGTTGGTAAGAAAATGTTCAACTCATGGTCAGTCAGATCCTTAAGTTATCAACTGATGATCAGAACTTGGGTTACAACTGTTTGGTGAGATATTTTTAGACCAATTATATACAGGTGAGTTACCTGTACGTTTGCATGGCCAAGTGAGATACTTACAGGTGAGTTATATATACCTGTGTTATTATGGCCAGGTGAGATAAATACTTACAGGTGATTTATATATACCTGTGTTATTATATATGGCCAGGTGAGATACTTACAGGCAAGTTACCTGTGTTACTATAGCCAGGTGAGATACTAACAGGCAAGTTACCTGTGTTAGTATGGCCAGGTGAGATACTTACAGGCAAGTTACCTGTGTTATTATGGCAGGATGAGATACTTACAGGCAAGTAACCTGTGTTACTATAGCCAGGTGAGATACTTACAGGTGAGTTACCTGTGTTACTATGGCCAGGTGAGATACTTACAGGCAAGTAAACTGTGTTACTATGGCCGGATGAGATACTTACAGGCAAGTAACCTGTGTTACTATGGCCGGATGAGATACTTACAGGCAAGTAACCTGTGTTACTATGGCCGGATGAGATACTTACAGGCAAGTAACCTGTGTTACTATGGCCGGATGAGATACTTACAGGCAAGTAACCTGTGTTACTATGGCCGGATGAGATACTTACAGGCAAGTAACCTGTGTTACTATGGCCGGATGAGATACTTACAGGCAAGTAACCTGTGTTACTATGGCCGGATGAGATACTTACAGGCAAGTAACCTGTGTTACTATGGCCGGATGAGATACTTACAGGCAAGTAACCTGTGTTACTATGGCCGGATGAGATACTTACAGGCAAGTAACCTGTGTTACTATGGCCGGATGAGATACTTACAGGCAAGTAACCTGTGTTACTATGGCCGGATGAGATACTTACAGGCAAGTAACCTGTGTTACTATGGCCGGATGAGATACTTACAGGCAAGTAACCTGTGTTACTATGGCCGGATGAGATACTTACAGGCAAGTAACCTGTGTTACTATGGCCGGATGAGATACTTACAGGCAAGTAACCTGTGTTACTATGGCCGGATGAGATACTTACAGGCAAGTAACCTGTGTTACTATGGCCGGATGAGATACTTACAGGCAAGTAACCTGTGTTACTATGGCCGGATGAGATACTTACAGGCAAGTAACCTGTGTTACTATGGCCGGATGAGATACTTACAGGCAAGTAACCTGTGTTACTATGGCCGGATGAGATACTTACAGGCAAGTAACCTGTGTTACTATGGCCGGATGAGATACTTACAGGCAAGTAACCTGTGTTACTATGGCCGGATGAGATACTTACAGGCAAGTAACCTGTGTTACTATGGCCGGATGAGATACTTACAGGCAAGTTACCTGTGTTACTATGGCCGGATGAGATACTTACAGGCAAGTTACCTGTGTAACTATGGCCGGATGAGATACTTACAGGTGAGTTACCCATGTTACTATTGCCGGATGAGATACTTACAGGTGAGTTACCTGTGTTACTATGGCCGGATGAGATACTTACAGGTGAGGTTAGCGAAGGCTCCGGTGGCCTGGTGTGGGTTGCAGCCTTTACATGTCCAGCAGAGGGAGAACAGACCAATCAGAAGTGACAACATGGAGCTGGCAACGGCACACGACATCAGACCCTGAACTGCCTTGAACCAATCTGTGAACACAAAGAAGTTTCGTCATTATTAACGACAACATGACATCAGACCCTGAAATTCCTAGAACCAGTCTGTGAACACAAAGAAGTTTCGTCATTATTAACGACAACATGACATCAGACCCTGAAATTCCTAGAACCAGTCTGTGAACACAAAATAATCATGTATGTTATTATTAACAGCAAAGGTTAAGAAGAGTAGAACTTAGAAACCTGCGTCCATCTTCCTGTTATCCTTCTCATGCTAAAGCATGGATTATTCTGTATCACTGTATCAAAGTAACTTTCTTGTACATTTAACTCTTTAATCATGTGACACAGTCAAAACTGCAAGTGTACACTTTGAAAACAGCATTTGACTTCATTACAAAACATTGACGAAATGAGATCTTTAACTCTTCACCCCTGAAATTCCATAATGAACTATTCCAACCTTTGAATTGGAAGAGTTCAAATGTGTCTTCAGGGGTGAATGAGTTAATTAATTTATCACTCACTGGAATGAAAAACTCAGTTTCAGCAATATGTAGTAGATTGAGCATGAGAACAGTTTCATGAATATAGATCCTGGCTGTGATATACCTGGTACTGGTTCAAACTGGGGAAAAAAAGTAAAATTCAGTCCTCAGGTTCAAAAGAGATCAATCCTGAGAAAACATACCAGAATGTTAAGTACTGTAATATCTCTCATGCTATAAACACCCTCCATCCTTTCAGGAGGAATTGAGTATCAATTAACCCCCTCCCCCTCCCAGACCTGATCAGGCCCAGTCAAAGATTTACAGTTATACACCACAAGTTTTTAAGATTTTCAAGAGTCTACAAAGTAGAGGCATGACTCATTCACCCCTGAAATTTTATAATGAACTATTCCAACCTTAGTATTGGAGGAGTTCAAATGTGTCTTAATTCAGGGGTGAATGAGTTAAGACTGGAAATCATCATTGGACTTGTGCATGTTTGAAGCTAATGAACCATTTGATATAATGTGAACCTCGAGTCACAGGATTGTTTATAATATCCTTCTGTTGTACTGTACCTCGAGTCACAGAATTGTTTATAATGTCCTTCTGTTGTACTTTACCTCCAGTCACAGAATTGTTTATAATGTCCTTCTGTTGTACTGTAGCTCCAGTCACAGAATTGTTTATAATGTCCTTCGAATTCTGTTGTACTGTAGCTCCAGTCACAGAATTGTTTATAATGTCCTTCGAATTCTGTTGTACTGTAGCTCCAGTCACAGAATTGTTTATAATGTCCTTCTGTTGTACTGTACCTCGAGTCACAGAATTGTTTATAATGTCCTTCTGTTGTACTGTAGCTCCAGTCACAGAATTGTTTATAATGTCCTTCGAATTCTGTTGTACTGTACCTCCAGTCACAGAATTGTTTATAATGTCCTTCGAATTCTGTTGTACTGTACCTCCAGTCACAGAATTGTTTATAATGTCCTTCTGTTGTACTGTACCTCCAGTCACAGAATTGTTTATAATGTCCTTCTGTTGTACTGTACCTCCAGTCACAGAATTGTTTATAATGTCCTTCTGTTGTACTGTACCTCCAGTCACAGAATTGTTTATAATGTCCTTCTGTTGTACTGTACCTCCAGTCACAGAATTGTTTATAATGTCCTTCTGTTGTACTGTACCTCCAGTCACAGAATTGTTTATAATGTCCTTCTGTTGTACTGTACCTCCAGTCACAGAATTGTTTATAATGTCCTTCTGTTGTACTGTACCTCCAGTCACAGAATTGTTTATAATGTCCTTCTGTTGTACTGTACCTCCAGTCACAGAATTGTTTATAATGTCCTTCTGTTGTACTGTACCTCCAGTCACAGAATTGTTTATAATGTCCTTCTGTTGTACTGTACCTCCAGTCACAGAATTGTTTATAATGTCCTTCTGTTGTACTGTACCTCCAGTCACAGAATTGTTTATAATGTCCTTCTGTTGTACTGTACCTCCAGTCACAGAATTGTTTATAATGTCCTTCTGTTGTACTGTACCTCCAGTCACAGAATTGTTTATAATGTCCTTCTGTTGTACTGTACCTCCAGTCACAGAATTGTTTATAATGTCCTTCTGTTGTACTGTACCTCCAGTCACAGAATTGTTTATAATGTCCTTCTGTTGTACTGTACCTCCAGTCACAGAATTGTTTATAATGTCCTTCTGTTGTACTGTACCTCCAGTCACAGAATTGTTTATAATGTCCTTCTGTTGTACTGTACCTCCAGTCACAGAATTGTTTATAATGTCCTTCTGTTGTACTGTACCTCCAGTCACAGAATTGTTTATAATGTCCTTCTGTTGTACTGTACCTCCAGTCACAGAATTGTTTATAATGTCCTTCTGTTGTACTGTACCTCCAGTCACAGAATTGTTTATAATGTCCTTCTGTTGTACTGTACCTCCAGTCACAGAATTGTTTATAATGTCCTTCTGTTGTACTGTACCTCCAGTCACAGAATTGTTTATAATGTCCTTCTGTTGTACTGTACCTCCAGTCACAGAATTGTTTATAATGTCCTTCTGTTGTACTGTACCTCCAGTCACAGAATTGTTTATAATGTCCTTCTGTTGTACTGTACCTCCAGTCACAGAATTGTTTATAATGTCCTTCTGTTGTACTGTACCTCCAGTCACAGAATTGTTTATAATGTCCTTCTGTTGTACTGTACCTCCAGTCACAGAATTGTTTATAATGTCCTTCTGTTGTACTGTACCTCCAGTCACAGAATTGTTTATAATGTCCTTCTGTTGTACTGTACCTCCAGTCACAGAATTGTTTATAATGTCCTTCTGTTGTACTGTACCTCCAGTCACAGAATTGTTTATAATGTCCTTCTGTTGTACTGTACCTCCAGTCACAGAATTGTTTATAATGTCCTTCTGTTGTACTGTACCTCCAGTCACAGAATTGTTTATAATGTCCTTCTGTTGTACTGTACCTCCAGTCACAGAATTGTTTATAATGTCCTTCTGTTGTACTGTACCTCCAGTCACAGAATTGTTTATAATGTCCTTCTGTTGTACTGTACCTCCAGTCACAGAATTGTTTATAATGTCCTTCTGTTGTACTGTACCTCCAGTCACAGAATTGTTTATAATGTCCTTCTGTTGTACTGTACCTCCAGTCACAGAATTGTTTATAATGTCCTTCTGTTGTACTGTACCTCCAGTCACAGAATTGTTTATAATGTCCTTCTGTTGTACTGTACCTCCAGTCACAGAATTGTTTATAATGTCCTTCTGTTGTACTGTACCTCCAGTCACAGAATTGTTTATAATGTCCTTCTGTTGTACTGTACCTCCAGTCACAGAATTGTTTATAATGTCCTTCTGTTGTACTGTACCTCCAGTCACAGAATTGTTTATAATGTCCTTCTGTTGTACTGTACCTCCAGTCACAGAATTGTTTATAATGTCCTTCTGTTGTACTGTACCTCCAGTCACAGAATTGTTTATAATGTCCTTCTGTTGTACTGTACCTCCAGTCACAGAATTGTTTATAATGTCCTTCTGTTGTACTGTACCTCGAGTCACAGAATTGTTTATAATGTCCTTCTGTTGTACTGTACCTCGAGTCACAGAATTGTTTATAATGTCCTTCTGTTGTACTGTACCTCGAGTCACAGAATTGTTTATAATGTCCTTCTGTTGTACTGTACCTCCAGTCACAGAATTGTTTATAATGTCCTTCTGTTCTACCATAGCTTACAGTTTATTATCCTAATAAGTGGGGCCCCCATTTAAGCTAATTTTAAGCACCCTGGGCACTATTAACTGTGATAACGGTATTTTGAGGAGGAGGGGTATGATTTTCATAGTTTTTTGTACAGGCCACAAATACAACAAAATGAAACCTCCCTAGAAGTGGACTAAGTGCAGTTCTTTGTTAGAATTCTTGGTTACCTCCGGGATCCTTTAACTAGCTCCCGTTTATGTTTTAGACCGTGGGTGTAACACATGAACTTTATATAATATATGTAGGCTGTCAGATTTTTCATCCAACAGTATTCACAAGCTTCAAGTTCTATTGATGAAACGTTATCAGAGGCAAATATCACACTCGACCTCAACCACTTCGCTCATTAATTCTATAATCTTTGAAAAGTTTATTTATACAAGCAGGGTAAAAAAGTTCAACGCTCACACTCACAGAGATAGCGTGAAAGCAGAGAACAGAAAAAAGTATAAATATAAATATATATGTATATATTTTAAAAGATATTGAAATTATTTAAATAGAAAATTTTACAATGTGTGGCACTTTCTCAAGCTGGGGTAAACATTATAACTATCTATGCCATATACGTGTACCGACATCTGCCTACGTACATACACTTATATACCCATAGCTTAAGGCAAGTGGGTATATAGGTACTTGTATATAAAATACCCTAGGTGCACAAAGGCAACAACAAACAGATTTGTTTAACACAGATGCCTGCTGCATCAAGTATGTACCCTGCTTGCTGTATCTAGCCTGCTTGCTGTATCTAGTATGTAGCCTGCTTGCTGTATCTAGTATGTAGCCTGCCTGCTCTATCTAGTATGTAGCCTGCTTGCTGTATCTAGTATGTAGCCTGCTTGCTGTATCTAGTATTTAGCAATGCTGTGTGTTTCATTTTAAACTGTAAGCTCATTATTTCTATGAAGTTTTTAACTATGATCTGGGGGTTTTCCCCTGCATACTTTTAGTTAGAACATTGCCACTTTTTTAGTTGTAGTTGGTAATATTGTATGTATAATTGTATATCAAAGCATCAAAATCCTAAGTTCTCTTTTTATTTTTCAAAAATCGCTTTTTCTTAAGTTTCTCTTCTAATCACGCATTCAAAGCAAACTTGTGAAAAATGGTTTTACTAGAAAAAAATTGTTCTCTTACTGTATATCTCAGTTATTTTATAAATACATAGTCCAACTGACTTCAACAAAACAACTTTAAACATACATGACAGACAGACAGACAGACAGACAGACAGACATTCTCTA